ACAGGAAACATTACTTAAAGTTCAGTTACTACCTGAACAGCTGATTAGTGTCAATATTTTCCATTTGTAGCACTGATTGACATCGTGTCTATTCTCTAAGGGGACATCAACTCACTTGAGGTTTCAGATATCCTTTGCCGACGAATGTCAACAAATGTAAAACGTAGGTAAAACAGGGTTTCTTATCAAAAATTGGAAATCATACAAAACTAATATCTTTTCAAAATAGATGAAAGCATCTAGTCAGGTGAACAGTAAGATTATTTTATTGTAATTTTCCCTTGGGTTCCTAGTGAAACATACGGATTCAGTAGCACGCCTCCACTCCACTCTCTTCTCTACATTCACTCAAACCTGGCTACATCACTGACAACAAACTCTCCTTTCTTCACCACATCATATACTCCATCTCAACCTCACTTCAAACGCACAACTCGTCATTTTCCATCTACCTTCCACTCGAGTGGATGAATGACCTGCAGCGTGATGTCCTCAATCGGTCTTCTCACTGAATGCTCAATCATCGCCATCTCCTTTTTCTCCTGCTTGATATTGGTTGGGTGAGATAGGTTGTTGGTTTGTTCGTTAGCCAGCCACAGTGACTTCCTTGTTGCTCATTCTCATTATTCTGACCATGTGATAATCGGTATCGAGTGAGTGTATGTGGCAGGTATTGATGAATATTTGTAGTTTGTTGGAAGTTCTTTTCGTGACACGGCAAGTTTTTGAACCATATGGAAACACTGACTTGACTGAAATGGTGTTGAAAATCCGGATGTTGTTCACTTTTGTGCTAAGTGCAGAAAATCTCCACACTGATTTCAAATTGATGAACGCCTGTCTTGCTTTACCGATGCTGGCTTTGACATCCTGATCTATCTAGTGCCATCCATAGTTGGAACTATGCTACCTAGGTAGGTGAAAGAGAAAACTACCCTTAAGTTTCTCCCGCCAATGGTGACTGACGCTTGTTGTTGACGGTGTTGTTGGTTGAACATCTTCATCACCTCTGTCTTTTTTACATTCACTTGATATCCCTTCTTCGTTGCCCTGCCTCATATGTCAACCTGTTAGTTTTCACAGGTAGATCTTCAAGTTTGTGTGATATTAGACACAAATGGTTGGTGAAATCGAAATCTTGTAGGGTCTTTACATCTGTCCAGCGTATTCCCACCTTCTCGCTCTTTACATTTGGTTGCATGATCTAGTCGACTACAATTAGAAAGATCATTGATGATCGTAAGCGGCAGTCTTGTCTTACTTCTATCTCCAGTTTGAAGGCATCACTGAGCATTCCATTGTTGATCACTTTGCATGTGACGTTTTCATATAGTTGCTGAATGAGATTGATAACGATTTGAGGTCGTTTCTTACTAGGCTCATCATTACTAGACCTAAATAACGTATCCACTTGACCTGACTACCACATACTGCTGATCAGGGTGAATGGTCTAAAACTGGTCGTTTCACTGCTCATTCAAACACTTAATTTAATTCTAAGAAGGTATTTATTCATCTTGGAATGATATCAGTTGATGGGCCATTGAAAACCTGTGAACGATAGACAAATATTTTGTCTCCGTTAAAGGCTAATTAATAGTGGTCAGCAGGTGATAATGGGTACTCAGGGCCATTAGGACGCATGTCGAACGGATGGCTGAATGATAAACGACTAATCGTAAGACCTGACTTTCATTGACTTGATTCATCTTGAAGTCGTAAATGAGCACTGCGTATGTCGGTCCTTTATGAATATTCCTCAGATGTACATCAACTTCTTCAAAAATACCTATTTATGCCACATCATCCCAGAGAGACTAAAGGATCCACTAGATTCAAAACTACTACCGGAACAGGCTAACTGGATTCAGGAAGTACAAATTATGTGCCGACCAAATTGCAACGCTTCGCATCATCATAGAACAAAGTATAGAATAGCAGTCAACTTAGTTCTACATCAACTTCATCAACTTTGAAAAGGCCTTCAACAGCGTCGACGAACAAGTATTTGGCAGGCAGCTGCGTCAACACCTTGGTTTCAGTGCCATAAACCTTTATCAAACTCATTCAACAACTATATGATGAGGCAACATGCCAAGTGATCCACAATGGGAAGCTCAGTGATGCTTTTGAAGTGATGATAGGAGGAGAACAAAGTTGTCTACTATCACCCATGATATTCCTGATTGTGGTCGACTGGATCATGCAGCAAACTGTGAGGAGCGAGAAGATGGGAATATGCTGTTCGACCGATGAAAAGACCTCACAAGATTTGGATTTCGCCAGTGATGACTTGTGTCTAATGTCACACAAACTCGAAGATCTACAGGCGAAATGCAACAAGTTGACAGAAGATGCAGGACAGCAGAGATGGGACTTGAAATGAACGTAGAGAAGATGGAGGTGATCAAGATACCCAAACAACACTACCACTACCACCACCACCAACAACAACAACAAACACCAATGAACATCAACGGGAGAAACGTGAAGGAAGTAGTCTCTTCCATCTACACCTATGTAGGCAGCATCATTTCAACTACAGGCGACACAGGCACAGACGAGGACGTCAAAGCAGCCAGGATCGGAAAGACAGTGAGACAGTTGTTAATTAACCTGAAATCAGTGTGGAGATCTGCTTCACTCCACTCAGCATAAAGCGTGAGCAACATCCGGATTTCTAACACCAATTCAGTGAAGTAAGTAAGTCAGTGCTTGTATGTGATGGTTGAGAGACTTGTGGAGGGTGTGGGTTAAGGAAAGCATTCTCAACAAACTACAGATATTCATCAACAACTGCCGCCTACGCTCACTTGGTGCTGAATATCAGATCAGTCGGCCAGAATAATGAGAATAAGCGACAAGTAACTGTGACTGGGTAACGAATCAACGGAGCATGAACCTATTGCTGAACAAGTATGCAGAAGCATAAAGTGGAGATGGATTGGATTGGGTATACACTGAGAATGCCGAGTGGGGACATCAAGTGGTAGGTTATGTCAGGCAGTCGAGTGTAACCCAGATGGGAAACGACGAGTCGGTTGCGAGTAGGAAATGAGAGTTTGTAAGCTGTCGTGGAGCCAGGTTCAAAAGTTTTTAGAGAACAGAGTTCACTGGAGATGTGCTACTGAAGCCATATGTTCCACTAGGAAGCCAGGGGGCAAATAATATAATAATATATAATAATTTGATTTAATCATTCCCATTCATGACTAGTTTATCGATCAAAATTTGTTCATATTTTCTGATCCAAGCGAAGGTAATTCTTCTAAACGCACTACCTTCTATTATAGTAGTCTCTAGGATACTACACGTGAAGATAAATATAATTTCTTAAATATGTCCTACCCTACAGGTTTTCTTCATAGATATAAAACTGACATCGGTCACTAAAGGAACGTCATCATCTGGTTCACATTTCAGTCATTGTTTTGGTAAGCGAAGCATCCCCTGCCAATTGTTAAAGTCAAATTTTACGGTTCGAACAAAGACAATCACATTTTCATCTCATTTCTTGATAGAAGTATTGTGAACCTGTCGGAGCTCTTTCATTCATTAAAGTATACTGGTTAACCTTTATTTAGGTTACGAATCTACGTTTCTTGAAATATTACACCAGTATTAGGATAAGATGAAGAAAAAAAAATTGAAGATAGTCGACAATATCGTTGGCAAAGATCGGTGATTCCATCTAGGTACTTCATGACTAGTTAACCGATGTATTCTTCACTAATCAAAGAAGACTTTTATCCACCATGGTAGGTTGTTCGTCTCTTTATAATTAGTTTGCGAACTGACAGATTACTAATGCTTATGACAGTAGATAAACAACACAATGAAAAATGAAAACATTTTGACAACGGAAGGTTTAAATAAAGCATACTGTAAAATCGCTAGCGCGATTTCAACACTTATGTCCACATTTATTGTGATAATTTTTCCTTTGGGTTCCTTGTGAAACATACAGCTTGGGTAGCATGTCTCCACTACACTGTCTTCGCTTCATTCACTCAAACCTGGCTACATCACTGACAACAAACTCTCCTTTCTTCACCACATCATATACTCCATCTCAACCTCACTTCCAACACCAAACTCGTCGTTTCCCATCTACCTTCCACTCGAGTGAATGAATGACCTGCAGCTTGATGTCCTCAATCGGTCTTCTCAGTGAATGCTCAATCATCGCCATCTCCTTTTTCTCCTGCTTGATATTGGTTGGGTGAGATAGGTTGTTGGTTTGTTCGTTAGCCAGCCACAGTGACTTCCTTGTTGCTTATTCTTTCTGGCTATTTGAGCTTCAGTAACTAGCCAGCGTAGGCAGGTATTGATGAATATCTGTAGTTTGTTGGAAGTTCTTTACGTGACACGGCAAGTTTTTGAACCATATGGAACAGCAGTGACTTGACTGCAATGGTGTTGAAAATCTGGATCTTATTCTTTGTACTTACTGCAGTAGGTCTCTGCAGATGTCCACATACATATACAAAATGCTAAATATCATACTCTGATTACATAGAATTTTATCAATAATTTATTTATACTCTACAAAATATACCAGTATATTTAGATTTTATACTTCCTAAAGAGGAAAATATTCAGTATTCAGTATTATTAATATTATTATTATGCACATTTACACCATAGAAATCTTTATGTTCAAGGTGAAAATTGAACTGAATTAAATTTTTGTTAAGGGATATGTCTATAGGAGTAGAAATTATGATAGGATAGACATATGGAACCTTAACGATCAGCTTTATCCTATGAAAGTAATTTTCGCCTACTTTATTATCTATGATTGGTTAATATTTCAGATACTATTTGTCAGATATATACATATAATTAGTTTGTGTTAAGCAACCGAAACGGATTAAACACTGTTAAATACATTACATATATATATATATATAGAGAGAGAGAGATATATATCTTCATCATTTATATAGTTGGAGTCTTTTCTAACCATTTTTGTATTATATTAATAAATAAAAATTATTATGTCAACAATGATGTGTGCAAAGTGTGCTCGACCATTTACTAGTGGAAGCATTTTAAGTGCATTAGATAAGAAATGGCATCCTGAATGCTTTGTATGTACAATATGTAAAAGAACATTAGCCGATCAATCATTTCACGTGAAAAATGAAGATCCATTCTGTGCAAATTGTTGGAAAGAAAACTTTCAACCACGTTGTGCTGTAAGTTAAGATAATATTCATTTATTAAAAATAAACTTCACTAACTAATTTAACTTTATTCATGTTTAATATTTAATATCATTTGAAGGAATGAGACCGATTTTCAGCTATATCAACTACAGTCATAAGCTATGTGTGTTTACTGTCACATGGACTCCAACCGAGAAGTCTACATTTCACTACATGGTTCCAACCACTAGTCAAAGACTTCATAGATTGATACCATATTTTCTGACTATTTTTACCTTTAACGCAGTTCAGCTAACACTGTGAAATAATACGAACGGTGACTAGGCATACGCAATACATGTACCAGTTACCTAAGTCCACGAAGGTTCACAGCATCATCAGTTGACTTTCCTTCTTTACACCCAAGTTGTATATTTCTGATGTGTTGGCATGAGGATACACAGTGATCAAACATCTCTTTAACCTTGAATGACCATTTCTCAAAGCCGTATCACAGAATACAGCTTCATGATCCTACATACGAAACTATTACTAAAATTATGGAAAGACTATTCGGTTATGACTAGACACATTCAACAACGCTTAAAACTACGTTCTGATAGATAAGCAAACTTTTGAACTAGATGCATACAGTTCTTAATCAGTGGTAAATAGTTAGAAAATTTAAGCACAGCATAAAATGAATGGTCACTGAAAAGTACTCTAAATGCTGACTGAAATTCAGCTATCAATTTCATGTAATATGGCGGTTAACTTATCGAACTAGGCGTCACAGAGCAGTTTGACTGATATTAGCCGGTTGACAATGGTCAACTTCGAGGTTGATGAGTGCTAAAAAGTGCGAAACCTATCTGGTTAAACAAAGCATCTTGAAAACTGCCTACAAACATCTAACATCGATATAAAGCTTGTCACTAAGTTGTTGTACCATATTGTGACGCAAATGATTAGAAAGGTTGTGTTTACTGCACTACTCATATACATTTATGCAAAAGTCAAGTTGTTCGAATTACTAACTGCTTAAAAAAGATTCAGATGAAAACCAAAGATTAGCGTTTTCATAATTTATAAATTAAAAATAAACTGGTTGTATATATGTAGACTTTTAAACAACGACCTTCATATTCTACCTTTGATGGCTACTCACTTCCTTGGAAGTTAGAAGAAACTGTGGGATTAGAGGTGATAATTGATCGGTGTTCTCTGAGCTTTGACGTTTGCCCGTGGACACTTCATCATCAGACTAGGAGACTTGATTAGCATTTACGTCATCCTGAAATGGAAATCATCCCCCTCTTTATCTCAACAACAGAAGGTTCACTGCAACTTCAAAAGATGTAAAAAGTAGACTTATTCAACCAGTCTGATATTCACATATAGGATCATATATCTTTTCTGAAAACTTTGAAGAATAATGGTTACTGATAAAAACCATATTACTATTTGTCCCTTGGGTTCCTAATGGAACATACGGCTTCAGTAGCACGTCTTCATTACACTCTCTTCTTTGCAGTCTTTTGGACAAGGCTCCACTACTGTCAACAAGCTCTCATTTCTTCCCCACATCATCTACTCCATGTCACCCTCGCCTCGGACGCCCAACTAGTCGTTTCCCATCTACGTTCCACTCAAGGGCTTGGTCTGGCGCGTGATGTCCCTCTATCGGTCTTCTCAGTGCATATCCAATCCATTTCCACTTCCTTCTACTGCATATTTGTTGCGTGATAGGTTTTTGGTTGGTTCGTTACCCGGCCAGAGTTCCTTGTTACTTATTCTTCCTGGCCATCCGATCTGATCTTCAGTATGGAGCTAGCGTAGGCAGCTGTTGATGAATGTCTGTAGTTAGTTGGAAATGCTTATCGTGACGCACCAAGTCTCTCAACCATCATATAGAAGCACTGACTTACTTGACTGAGATTAGCGTTGAAAATCCGGATCTTGTTCTTTAATAATTACTATTATTTCCATAGAGAAAGCCAGTATAAGTACTTAATACCAATTATAATAATAGCTTTATTGCAAACAAGACTTGTGGTACAGTATAGACTTTTCAGCATGTAAGTAGTTCGACGGATTTATTCCCTGTGCAATATGTTTCAAAGGAATAATCACTGGATTCGAATAATGTTAATAATAACAGTAATATAAGCCACAATGTGAAACAGGCATCTGGTATTACATAAGCCTGTGGTTTGAATTTGTGAATGAATCGAAATTCAGGCGTAGTTTGGGTGGAGGTTTATTCAGGCAGTACGAAAATCTGCAATTCTATATAGTTATCCATGGAATAGTAATATACTGTGTTTTTATATATTTCTATGCTCATCTCTTATCAGAGCATCGTTTCTTCTTCATTTTGTTGTCAGCTTGAAAAATAGCAGTTTGAAACCATTTTAAAAGTGTACAAGGGTATATGACACGCTTTAAAAAGCATATTTAGAAAGTTAAGACAAATTGAAAGGAATAAATTTGATGTGATATATACAGTGTCAGTCCATCTCAGTTCATGATGAATTCCAAAGTAAAATCAATTAAATAAACCTCCAAAAACCTCTAGATAGAACTAATCTAGCGCTCATTGGTGACTAGCTTCTAGACATGGTTCTTAAAGTTCTAATGATAGGTCGTGATGTGACCAGTGGAGTCAACCAACTGGAACATGAGGACAGTTACTCAACGACAACAATAGATACAGGTCGGACTATATTATAAACTGACAGAAGTAAGAAATTTGGACGATTAGATTCCAACCCAGGGGCTCAATGATGACGTGCTGGCCACGGAACCTGCACATTCTGGGTTTGATCTCCGTTGGGTGCGAGGTCATGGGTGTCCACTGCTGAGGATTAATCACATACTAGAAGGAAACAGTCTCCCAGTGCTTCCTAGTTTCCAATGTTCCTTCAACTGATGAATTCAAACCTAAAATCAATAAAGGTTGGAAATTTTTCTGTAGCGCAAATTTTAAGCATATTGCCTACATAACATTGAATAATTTAATTCATCACAAACCATTTGATTTAAGGAGACAGCAAGAAATTATCTATTCCTTGCTTAGGTGTAGATAAGTGACACTTTAGCTAGTGAAGTTCATTTAAAGATTTTATTGTAATTTACGGTAATAAGTTAGTTTTATCATTTCAGTCCATTAGTTCATCATTATACAAATCAGTGGATTCAATTAACTGTTTGTTTCAATGCATTTCAATGTTATGGTTACAACAGAGAGGTGTAAGTTTACACACTTTAAATTAACGTCTAATAATGCTAGGTGAAATATGTTGGTTTTCTTACTTAAGAATGGATTATATCTCTGTTTTTTATCATTTTATCTAGTCAAGAAATGTAGAGGAAGGAAATGTGCCCTATCTCTCTTGATGTGAATAAAAAAAGTTTACAATGTTAAAGATAATTGGCATTTTATCGACTTTTCTCCATGGTTTTAAAGTGTAGCTAGGCCGATCAGTGTTAGGACAATAATATGAAAGGCATTATTGTTAAAACGGCAGCTAGTGGTATATAAACATCTGATCTGAACTCGGAAATGAACATAAAATTAACTGTAATTTTACTGGTTACAGTTTAATTATTATAATATTATATTATTTTTCCCTTGGGTTCCTTGTGGAATATACGGATTCAGTAGCACACCTCCATCCCACTCTCTTCTCTACATTCACTCAAACCTGGCTACATCACTGACAACAAACTCTCCTTTCTTCACCACATCATATACTCCATCTCAACCTCACTTCAAACGCACAACTCGTCGTTTCCCATCTACCTTCCACTCGAGTGACTCACTGACCTGCAGCGTGATGTCCTCAATCGGTCTTCTCAGTGAATGACCAATCAAGTCCATCTCCATCTCATTCTCCATCTCCACTCTCCTGCTTGATATTGGTTGGGTGAGATAGGTTGTTGGTTGGTTCGTTAGCCAGCCACAGTGACTTCCTTGTTGCTCATTCTCATTATTCTGACCATGTGATAATGCGTATCGAGTGAGTGTGGGTGGCAGGTATTGATGAATATCTGTAGTTTGTTGGAAGTGCTTTTCGTGACACGTCAAGTTTCCGAACCAAATAGCAACACTGACTGGGCAGTAATAATATCTGCAGTTCCACACAGGTGTCCTAAGTGTAGTGATATGATGTATATTTGGGCATTTATAAAACCATTTCCGTTAACTGTAGCGTTTTTCCCATATTTTCTCCTTTGATCGAGAAACGACAGTTTGAAAACATTTTAGAAGTGTACTAGAGTGCATGATATGTTTATCAGACATATTTTAAAGATTGAAACAAATAGAAGGGGAAGATTTTTATGAAATATATTCCGTGGAAAATTGTTGGTAGCCCAAGGTTTAAGTAGACATAAATATTATTACTATTAATCCACTAATTTTTTGTACAAAGAATGGGAAATCGACTTTGGAAGTGACATAAGCACGGATTATTTATTAGTGAAACGTGAAACATGCTATTTTACACAACATGGAACTGAACATTTATCAGACATAAGTGTAAAGTATATATATATATATATAAACATATATATATATATATATATATATATTTACGCAGTAGTATAGATAACTTTTCCGTCATTCATAGTTTGTTCATTTAACGTAGACCAATATTAAGGTATCGTACATCATTTTGTATTGAAAGGTGACGAAATAAGATATTGAACACATTCCACAGGAAGTGGTTATTTTCATTTTGAATCCCTAAACAAACTATTGGGCATGAAACAGTGTAGAATTTGGGAAAAAACAACCATGAAAAATTTTTAGCAACTATTTAATTGGGGAATACACTCAATCAATCATTGTCAAAGACAAGATGTAGTTGCAGCGAAGTAAATATTTTTCTTTTCGACGAAGTCATTTACTACTAAGCTGTTGTACATTCGTGAATATATGTTACAGTGGGTAGAACGTTCGAGAATAATTTCCGGTTAGAAAGAAAAGTATAGCGAATAATTAAATTAATACATATTTAGGTTCAGAGTAGGTAAATAGACAAGGG